ATAAACATTCAAATTTGTACTTTAGGTCTAATCTCTCCATTCTATAATCCCATTCAATCCACCCACCATCTCCTCCTTATCCAATTCATAAGTCCTTTTTAGAATCATATGTTTCATCTCTTTAGTATTCCCAAAAACCTTTGTATTCCCAATTTTTTATTTTTTCTTTATCAACTTAAGCTTTTTCATGAACTTAAAAACTTCTCAACCTTGGACACTAATCTCATTCCATGACTTCTCAAAATATTTTCTAAATGAATGATGCTCCAACCACATACTTTCAAATCTAAATGGAGTTGGGTCCCACCTAAACGGACAACTCTCAATGACTAGTGGATGATGATTGGACACAGCTCTCGAGAAAGCTTCTTGACTCACATTAGGGTACATATCAACCCACACATCAACAGGGCCGGCCCTAGGCCTAGGCCATTTAGTTGGCCGCCTAGGGCCCCTAATTTTTGCAAAATTTTGGGGCCCCCACCCCCTAGGTAGGAGTTTTAGTTCTGAGTAACTATATTTTGGATGGGCTGATTTGAGAGGGTCCAAATTTTGCTTACCTAGAAAATTGCTCCATTTGCCAGCTATTGTAGACTGTTAAACTTCTTGTCAGCTATAGAAGAATGATAGACTTCTGCAACAAGGAAGATATATATGACTAGTAATATCTATCTCTTAACATTTCTCTCTCTATTAACGTCTATCTCTTAATATCTCTCTCATCGATAATTGAGAATGCAGTAACACTATCGGCTGAAGAATCTTTTAGAATTGAGTATTTTTTATTTATAGTTGATCTAGCTATTTCTTCGATCAATAATAGATTTGAACAATTCAAAATATATGAAAATATTTTTGGTTTTTATTTTGTTATAAAAAATTAAAATCCTTAGATGATGATAGTTTGCAAAGTTATTGCCTTAACCTTGAAAAGTTTTTGAAGCATGATTTTTTTTTGATATTGATGGTTTAGATTTATTTCAAGAATTGACTGTTTTAAGAAAAGTCCTACAATATGAAATTAACACTCCAACAGAAACCCTAAATTATATAAAACGATTAGATTTTTGTCCAAATGCATATATAGCTTTAGAATATTGTTAACTATACCGGTAATAGTTGCTTCAGCAAAATTTTTTTTTCCAAAATTTAAATTAATAAAATATTATCTCCGATCAATTATGTCATAAGAAATATTAAATGGATTAGCTATTTTATCCATTGAAAAAGATATATTAACAAAACTTGAATATAAAAGTTTAATCAATATTTTTGCATCTCAAAAAGCTAAAAAAATTGCTTTTAAATGAATATATTTTAATAATTATTGCTTATTAATAGGGCCTCATTTTATATTCTCGCCTAGGGCCTTCAGATTTGTTGGGCCGCCCCTACACATCAAACATAAAAAATCTACCCAGTCTTTAGTCTTTTACATACTGCATTCTCATGAAGATTTGACCACGTAAACCTAACCTAGCATTTTGCCAATGCTGGATCAACTGATCCACAACTTTGAATAAAGTGATGAAGTCTCTCATGCTCCTAGTAACCCTACTTCCCCCATCTTTTCTGAAACAACTCTAATAACATTAAAATCTCCACTCATACACCAATTAGGACGACATTGGCAAAAAAAAATTGTGAGTTTCTCCCACATATCCATGCTAATCCTTGGACAATTAGGACCATAAACACCGGTGAACCACCACTCCCTAGCATATCAAAGTCTTAAACTTAATCGATATTGAAAAGACTCCCACCACTATATCCACACCCATAACAACTCTCTTATACCAAATAATTAACACCCCCAGATCTTCTACAAGAAGATAAAAAGCCCATTTCCTAAATCTAACCTCCCAAACACTCGGAATAAATTTTCTACTAATCCTTTCAACCTTTGTTTCCTAGAATACTATAATGACAGGACAAATCTTCTCCAGAATCTCTTTAACACATTCTCTCTTTCTCCTAGACCTCATTCCTCTAACATTCCAACTCACAATTTTGCATGGCTTTACCAAACTATCCCCAAGAGCAGCTACCGACACACCTTCATAATTAATACCAGACCTAAGATTCTTAAGTTCCCTAATACACTAGCACTCTCTTTAGATTTCCTTCTCTTGTCTCTACCTACACCTAAACATGGCACACCTTTATTTTTTTTCCCTCCTTTCTTCTTCTTCACTAGTGATATTCATACCATTATGTTAAAGGAAACACACAGTTAAAGTCTTTCAACCAACTCTTAATCTTACCCCTCTCATCTTCCCCCAGTCTCATAGACCCAAGATCTACCAAAGTCTTACTGTCATTAACACTACCAGACTCACTATCCTCAATACGAAATTGGTCTAAGATCAACCCTTTAGAATACTCCTCATGACAGTTTGGCATTAAAATTAAATAAGAACCACATCCTCAAACAGCTTGATGATTATCATGCGCAAAATTGGGAGAAGACTTAGAGATACAGAGATCTAACTCATCAGAGTAGATAGCAGGACAAGTTGCAAAAACAAAGACAACTTCAGAATTTAAAACGAACTCTGAATACCCCAAACCCAAACCATAACCCCCCACTATCTCAGATGATTTTTCCAGTAACCGCTTTTTCTGGGAAGAGAGAGATCTATCGGGCTTAGGCTCAAAACAAACACATTCCTCAATTGATTGTTTGAAAGGAACAATCACACCAATCTCTTCTGAAGTAATATTGGCATTTCGGTTGAAAACATCATACTTCGCATAAAATCTATCCTTTACTTCTTCAAACAGGTCCTCAACACCAACCATGGATTGACTACCTTTAGATGCATCATCAGTTCTCAAAGATTCATCTTCTTGAATTCCAGTCATATCTTCTTCATCCTCTGATGCTTCATCTGGAGAAGAGCTGAAGTTTGTTGGCTTCAAACATTACTTCACCTATCTTATCCGCCCTCAATTGTTGCTAGAAAAATCCAGAATTAGCTTTGATCATCTCTCTCTCCACTTCATCATCATCCACGTCAGTCTCTGCCATCACATTCATCTTCACACTCCCTTTTCCTATCTCGAAACTCCCTTGTACCTCCTCACCATTCTTAGCTGGAAGCACAATCACATTTGCACCTCATCGATTGAGCATTCCGCTAGCCCCCAGCACACTCTCCCTTATTGCACCTCTCAATACCTTGGCCCTAATGTGAGAGAAGACACGATTCTTCTTTAAACACATAGTTGGGTCATATATTTTAGAAGATGGGTTATAGGCCAAATCCAACATAGACCCAACTTCAGTATTCCCCAACTCTACACATTTTCCAGCCCATCACTGCACATCTCTCTTGTTTCAAAAGCAACAACTCTTGATCAAATAATGGTTGGAAAAAGAAGGTATTTGTTCTATATACAAATTGATGGTTAACTTTGCAACCTGTTTGATATACTAGATAGGATAGTGAATACAAGAAATACTACTCATAATGAACTTTAGGATCTTGTAACTTGATGCAATGGATCTTAATTCTATGCTCAACAAGTGATAGATTGTAATGTATATAAATAGTTGCTGATGTGGGGATTTTTTTTTTTTTTTTGGTAGTGGGACCAAATATATACTACATTTCTAACGTAAATTGCTTTTCCACCACTTCCTTTAGCTGAGTCTTTTGGGACTATTTTTTAGTTGTACATGCTCAAATCATAAACAAATTTGTACATAATAATATATTCCTAACATTCTTTTTTCGGACTATCTTTAGTTGTACACGCTTTAAATCGTAAACAAATCTGCACATAATAAATTTATCTCGTCCTTCTTTTTTCCCCCGACAATGGTTGTGATATAACGCTTGTAGGTTTTTGCAAAAACCAAACTCATTGGCACCAAAAATCTCAGATTCTGATCTCTTACATTCTTAATAAGATATTCTATAAGATATCCAACCAAATATTTCAAAAGGTATCAATCTTGCATTCCATCACTCATGCCTCAAAATATGCGGCAATGTATTTGACCTTTTCTCAATCACCTGTTACTAATCTAAGATTGGGTTTACTGACAATGATTGGATAAATAAACCTTACATTGATTCATTTTGTGGACTCTCTCTCTCTCTCAATATGTGTGGTAACGATCGTAGAGAAAACACCTGTTTTTCATGAAATCACAAACATACACAACCTGAAATGTACGAGGCACAACCGTATCAAGTGATTTATTGGTTTAATTTGATGAATTGATCTGAAATTCTTTACAAGTAACGTGACAAATTTCCATTATTGTTTACAATCTTACTTGTAGTAAGTAGTATTTTTTTGATAGGGAAAAAAAATTCATTAAATAAAGTAAAATGTACAAAGAGGTGGACAAGAAATCCACCCTTTGAGGGAAATAAAAGAGGAAATACATTGAAAACATTATATCCCTGTAAAATAGGAGATAATCCTAGTTACACACTGCAATCGTATCAACACTAAAAGAAAAAATGGCACGTCCTTAAACTCTTGACGCCCAAAGAGAAGTCAAAAATTTCACTCTATCCCAAAGAAACTCCACCAATTCTTCTTCTCCTTAAAAAAATTTCTGCTATTCTTTCCCAACCACTCCACTCAAAAAATTGACATAATCACACATTTCCACCAGATACATACTCTACACCCCTTCCCGAAAACAGCATAGTTGGCTTCAAATAGAGATAAGCAAACCTCTTGAAAATATCAAAATCAAATATTCACCCAAAGCTCTATAACACAGTTTCAGTTCCACCGGGCAATGGAGAAATAGAAGATCCACACTTTCACTGCGTCTTTTACACATAATGCACCATCAGGGGAAAGACAATAATTTGATCAAGAGCTATTATCCAAGCAAAAACCTGCACCTTAATAGGCACTTTGACTTGCAAATCATGTAATGATTGAAAAATAAGAGATTATCAATCATCAAGAGGGCATTTCAAGAAAAGACTCTAGAAGAGTCGAGGATAATTACAATACAATACAAGCCTATGCACACACTTTCAGCTGCTGTCTTCCACCAGAGGGCATTTCAGCTGCTATTTCTTTCACAATTATGTACTTTCCTCCTCTAAACAATAGAGAATCTGGTACCTTATTTCTTTTAGCATTAATATCTGCAGATCTTGGATAATATTTTTATACATAATCAAGCAGCTGAATTAGAGCTGCACATTTTCGAGAAGAACCAGAAACAAGCTATGGAGAATCATCAAGACCTAGAAGATAGTGGAGAAGAAGAAAGCACAAATCCACTCCTTCCATCATCAGAACTTGACCCGGTATCAAAAAGTGACACGTCTCAAGGGCAATCAACTCTGAAATCATGTTTAGCCTCAGAGTTCCGTTTTCCTAAAAACAAACGAAAACGAGGGCACCGCAGAGCTGGTTCGGGTGGTTGGAGCCGACAATGCCCAGGTGAACCTGATAGCCAGTGACTTGTTTCATTAGTTCTTAGATCATTCGATAAAGATGTAGCACTTGACTTCGTGGATGATGGAAGCCTTATTTGGAACACGAGGAACAGTTAACTTCGTAATGGTGTTGAAACAACTAACTTTTCAGGACTACATGTTTCATGGCAACAGGTTATTGTGTGGTTCCCCTGGTTCTTCAGCCCATTGCTGTGCTTACATGGATTAGGCAAATAATAGAGGCAGAGCTGTTTGATCACTCTAGTATTGTTGTATGTTTTTAGTGTAGGTTTATGTATTATCAAGCAAATGTCTGATGTACGGGTCTGAAGTCTAGACACTAACTGTGAGGCTGATAACGAGGGGACATTTTTTTATCCCATGTTAATAGACATTGATGACTGGATATCTGCTACGGTGTCCAGCTTGTTGGGAAGAGGCTTCTCTGTTGGCCTTATTGTCCAAGTTATTCTGGTCATGTGAAATGACTTATTGTTGATTGTCATATCTTGGACGTCTCAGACTCGAGTTCCCGCTGTAGGATTGAGTGAGGTGATTGCCCGAAATTTATGTAACACTGCTCTGTTTATTTAAGCCCATGTAGTTAAGTTAATCACGTGCTAAACCAGTTGGAAAATGGTGGGTTACTGAATTCACTACTATGCTCTTGTGACCTGCATGCATTGTAGCTCTGAATGTTGCATTAGTGTTTTCTCCTCATACTGCTTCTCTTTCAATTCTTTCGAGGTCACTGAATCCTTTTTGCGGTCATGGTTGAGGAATTTATGACCCTATTTTTTTTATGTGGTAATGCAACAAATAGGCCTCTCACGGGTATCTGAGCATTTTTTGCTATTGCATTTATAGACAGAAGATATAAATAATCTATTTATTAAAGGCTGTAACGGCGGACTGTTCGATGTTCAGCCACACTACAGTGACCTCCGAAGCATAATACTTAATCGACATTCATAAAAAGTATCTCATGAATTATGAGTTTAGTACATCCTTTATCAGAAAAGTGGATATTCTTTGCAAATTAAAATTTAAATATCTTATAGTCCTTTTAATTTGGTGGCTCTCGTTCAAACTTTTAACGACAAAAGAATCAACTTTTACTTATTTCCCTTATAGCATCTTCAATAGTCTTTTTATTCTCACTCAATTCTTTATTATAAAGTGTCAACTTTTAATATTTCTTCTCCAATTAACTCTTTACATTTGGACAGTTAAACTCACTCTCTATTTTATTTTTTGGAATAGAAAAAAGATATATTTGTCTTTTAATCCAAGACATTTAGAATAAACGTATTTTATTTAAAATAATGGATGAAAAATGAGGGGAGGTCAAATTTATTGGCAAAAAAGGAAAAAACATAAAATGATAAGACTAGAAAGTCCTATTGCAATTTAAAGGCATTTAAAGGTATAAAAATTGAGGCACCAAGTTGACTCTAAATGTGAAGTCTATATATATGGGCAAGTCTTTTCAGATTAGGATAACTCTCATTAAACCTCAAAATGCCTTTTATATCATCTAACCAATAACAAACCCTAGAATCCCTAAGCTTCCAAGATCAAATCTACCAAGATAAAAGCGCAAAAAAAAACCAATCTAAGTAACAATTAACAAATATCTTGGACAACAACAAATCTCAAGCAAATGCCATCAATATTTGAACTTGAAGACAACACATAGATATAAATCCATACATATGCATACATAGTGTGAGAGCAAGCGAGTTTAGTTGTCGCGGTTGTTACGATCACTGGTTCTAGTAGCCAACTTATCAAAATGACAACACTGTGTTATATAACAACAATTGGACACATTTGGTTTATTTAAGATGGAGTGATGTCATTTGGTCCCTCGTACTCCGTTTCATAGGAATGATAAAAATTAAGAGCGATGAGAAATAGGAGAGATACACTTTTTATCCTTCAAAGAAGGAAAATAAGAATGATACATTTTCCATCCTTTGTGTTTGGTAGGATGGACGAAAAATAAAAATGTTTATTTATTTATTTTTGTGCTTGCTAAGATTAGGAGTGATAATCGAGTCGTATTGTGTTAGGTTCGTATTGAGTTATTGCGGGTTTATGTCGACCATTAGTCAAATTTTACTCAACTCATTTAACTAATCGTGTCGTGTCGAGTTGACATGTCTATTTTCGTATCGTGTTCGTGTTCGTATTCGTATTAACCCATATAAACTTTGAATACAAAATTTAACGCTAATATTCTATTTTTCACTTAATTGAATTCATGCCCATACTTTTTCTACAAATTAAAAATTAACTTAAATAAATATAATAATAATAATAATAAATAAAAATATCTTTTTTATATAATAATTATGTCAGTGCTTAATTAATAGTTATAAATAATTAATATTTTACGTCTATAATACTAGTTAAACATGTTAATTTTGTATTAACATACAAACGCGAAAATACAGAAAGTGTTTATTTTTAAATAAACGGGTTGATGGTGTCAATTTTGAGTATGACGGGCTGAACTAAATATGAGCCGTTTATATTTTGTGTTTGTGTGTTAGGTCATTTTCGAGTTTGTGTAGAGTTATAATTAAGTTCGTGTCATAAAATTCGTATCGAGTTCGAGGTGTGTCATCATGTTGAGTCGAAAATTTTTACCCCTAGCTAAGATGGAAAAAATATTTTTTCTTTAATTTTTATTTTTAAAAAAAATTTTATTTTAATTTTATTTAAAAAAAAATATAAATACGTATTTTATCATTGTATTTATATATGAAATTAATGTATACATAATATATGTATACTAGTTATAACCCGTGCTGAAGGCATGATAATTTGAGTGTCCAAAAAATCGATCCCACTATATTAAATTTTTTCAACATGTGTATACTATCGTATATGAATAATATTTGAAATAAAAATTATATTAATTACAAATTAATCAAATATTAAATGATTAAACATATGATAAAAATGAGTGATGTGATGTTTTTAAGGGAGAAATATATAAATGATTAAACATGCAATGAAAATGAGTTATGTGATATTTTTATAAGGAAAAATATGTAAGGGACAAAAATTTAAGTTGTTATGTGCTTTATTATATAGATATCAAAAGATATATAGACAAATAAGATACATTTTAACACAAATAATTAATTTTTCTTACACTTTCCTTTTGATTTTGGACGGATTAATTTTGGTGAATTGGAAGTAAAGTTCTTTCATCCACTTTTTCATCCTTCCTATTTTTCTTCTTTACCAAATGTGATGTTTTATTTATTCCTTTAACTTTCTATCTTTTCAACTTTTTATCTTTCCATTCTTTCATCGTACCAAACGGAACACAAAAGAATTTAAAATTTTCTATTCGCCCTACAAAAACAAAGTCACAGATCAAGGCTGTGGCATGTTAAATGGCAGTTCACAAAAAAATTAGGATTAATCTCACTTTACACCCTGAAAATGTTGAATTCTCAATTTTTTCCCTAAAAATTTTTAGTTCTGAAGTTGTATCTTTAATGTCACAAAAAATTGCAATGTAACCCAAACCAAAACTGTCGTTCACTTTCCCATTAGAATAAGTGGTGCAAACATGCCAATAAGTTGCATTTCAAGATGAAAAAGTGCATGACTGCTTGGGTCTGGATCACATTATAATTTTTTTGGGAGAATTACGACCAGAACTCTTGAGGTTTGTCACTAATTAGATGGACCCCCTTTAGTATGCTAAATAACACCGATACCCCTTGTTAGTAATCTTTAAGAAATGGAAGGGACGAAATTGTTAAATAGACCAAAATGCCCATGCATGGTAGCCTAATATTTTGCTAAACATGTAAAGTTGCATAAATGTCATTTGACGCCATATCACATACGTTTGCCAACTCATACGCAAAGTAATCTGATCTCCACCAAGAACAGTGTCTTTTAGCACTCCATTTTCTCAGGCATGTGAAATGTCATATTCTCGGGCTCCAAAATTTTACTAACCCTTTCAACTATTCCCTACTGTAATTTTTTTTATTAAGGATGCCCTCCATTTTAGAAAAAATACTCGCTAAAATAGAAAGCCCGGTTGAAGATGCTGTTTTACATTTTGCTGAGTTTTCAGTTGAAGTTCAAGACAACATCAGATGGACATGGGAAATTAGGTTAAATTGCCTTTTTTTTCAGGTTACAAGCATATCCTTCAATCCATATAGAATCTTTATTTTGCTTATGCGCCACTCTAAGGCCCCAATAAGTAAATGAACTTGTGGAGCAATTATAGTTGGTATCTCATATAATCAATCGAACACTAAGAGATTAGGTTTGTTCTGTAACTACCGACTACTTCCTCTTCAGCAACCAAGTTTGTTTTGTTGTATGCTTTATTATTTTTTGCTCCATTAATCATTCATTAATTATTTTTTTCTCCAGTAATCAATTATTTCTATACATTTTCCCCAGTTCTGCAGGGCCGGTTCAGAATTAGGTGACTTACGTGGGCGCCTAAGGTCCTACCATAGGAAAAAGGTCTTACTTCTTTTAGGTCTATTTGATCCTTAATTTCATCCTAGATGACATCCTAACATTTAAAGGACATGTTTGGCTGAAGTATTAAGGGGTAAAATTAGAGTAAATTTGGGTAATGATCACGTAATACCAAGTTTGAATCAAGTTATAAGGTCCAGCCTTAATTAATGACTTTATTGTACTAAAGTGCTATCTTTTTTTTTATATATATATATAAATTTGGAAATTTTATTAACTGTTAAAAAAGGATTACACCTAATGGGGGGACCCCAAAAAGAATCTAAGTACAGCATTAATAAAATAAAATAAAAGAATAAATAAAACATGCTGTAACAGATGATTGCAGCTACAAAAAACATGATCCACAGTTTTAGTAGCACCATAGCATAAAGAACATCTGCTTACCACTGCCACTCCCATGTTCCTGGAAGTACAATCAATAGGTGTGCCGAATAATTTTCGTATAATAGTTGAAATGAGAACAGATCTCTCTCGTGGTGAACTCAGGT